GTAAAAATCAGTTAGATTAACAACTCCTAATATATGGAAAAGCCATTGCATTTCGGTAACACTACATTCCAACAATGGCTTTTATCTCATGTTGCTTAGCAACAAAAGTATAACCTAATATTGTTGTTAGTCTATGTACTGAAAGTATAAAAATGAAATGTATAGACAATAAAACTAGAATTTTTTTTGTTGATTTCTTAATTTAGAGTCTTCGTTGCTTAAAGGTTTTTATTATCATTAAAAACGTTGGTGATACAACAGAAACTAGCTTAATTCAGAAACGATTTAAATTTAAAATTGAATCGATACTTTTACTTTAATGATAAATTGTATGCACTTAGCACTCACTACAATTATAAGGTTTCATGGCACCCATCCTCCTCACGGCCCCCTTGCACTCCCGTCACTAAAATTGTAATGGACAGACAGTAATCGAACTATTCTATCTGAGTAAATGCATTTTTGGCTTTTATGACTCCTCTTATTTCGAGAAATCAAGCGTGACGTGACGCACATTGGCTTTTATATAGGTTAGATTTTATTGTAACTGATGGTAGGAGTATATATCCAACTTCATCGCAATAGCTTTTCGGCCGGAGGGTTCTATTTCGTAACCATAGCTATGTGGATGAAAGCGTTTCTTCAAATTGGGTTCAAATGTGTTCAATTGGGTTAGGGGCATATCATCTCCTAAACCCTGTGCTGTTATAAAAGCCTAGATGCTTACAAGTATTTTGTGGCTGGCTGGGTGCACAATATCAGACTGTGGAAAGTGTACAAGACGTTAAAAGCTACATATTTTATCAAGATCTGTGCAATATAATTGTGACAAGGTACTTTGTATATACAATTAGTACTAACCAAATATAAAATGGGAACTGCATACTCTATGCTATGAAGATGGCTTCCTCCAAGCCGTGTCAATGTAGTTCGGGTCTGCATGTTTTACTGCCACAGTCCACATAACTCTACGTACTGGATCTTTTGGAAAGGGAAACCTATAAAACGATAACTCTAGATTCTTTGTCTAACGTATAGTCTCTCAAAAATGACCAACTTAATCGAAATAGATTTTCGGCTGGAGGGTTCTCTTTCGTAACCCTAGCTATGTGGATGAAAACGTCTCTTAAAATTGGGTTCAGATGTGGTTTGGGGCACATTCTCCTAAACCCTAGGCCTGGCATGGCCAGGTGGTTAGGGCGCTCGACACACAATCTGAGGGTCGCGGGTTCGAATCCCCCTCACACCAAACATGTTCGCCATTTCAGCTGTGGGGCGTTATAATGTGACGGTCAATCCCACTATTCGTTGGTAAAAGAATAGCCCAAGAGTTGGCGGTGGGTGGTGATGACTAGCTGCCTTTCCTCTAGTCTTACACTGCTAAATTGGGGATGGCTAGTGTAGATAGCCCTCATGTAGCTTTGCGCGAAATTCAAAAAACAAACAAACAATCCTAAACCCTGTGATGTGCAAATTTTTTGCTTCCATAGATAATATCGATTGCTTCATTGATTGGGATTTTTTTTCTATATCGTTTAACAGCCTCAGTGTAAGAACATGTTGCCTGAGAAACATGTTTCGTATTTACATCAAGTCAGTATCTCCTTGAATTCAACAACTAACACACAGTTGATGCATTACATCAATGCCGATTCTATCCCTGTGTAACGAATTTATCATTATGTATTTATTCTTAGTATGAACGTTGTTTGGATCGAATTTGTATTTAGAAATATGCGTGACTTGTAGTATCAGATATGTGTAGCGTATAACGAATTTGTTATATATTTATTTTAATGCCAACGTTTGTTTTGAATAAGTGTATATTTGAGAGCGTGTCTAGCTTACCGTGTTAGTTACGTATGGCGAAACTCCCGCCAATTCTCCAAGATTGTAGAATATTCGTGAACACAAGAATCAATAATATATCCACTTCCATAACCAGTATTATCAGAAGTTTCTAGAAAATGTGTCTCGCTTATAAAAACAGCAGGGCAACGCGCCAAAAAACAACAGAGAACAGGGACAAGTATACTAGAAAACTGTTATAATGGTGTAAGTTATAAACTGTGATTTTGCTAACCTTTAATAACCGGAAAATATATGACATCTGGCCAGGAACAGCTATAAATTTCGAACGTCAGTGAATTCTCATCAAACGTTAGTATCATTCCAAAAATATTGCCGGTTTCTCATTGGACATTAGTGGTTTATGAAAATATTATCTTACTTCGATGGTCCAACAATTCAGTGCCTGACAAAGCTAGCTAGCCTCCCGATAATTGTACGTACATCGACTTCAAATTAACTCGCTGGATATCAAGGGGACTCTGAACTAGGAAGACGATTTTAGGTTATTTGTAAGTTAGTGAAATTTCTGTTTATGAAACTTGGTTTGTAATAACTAATCGTAATAGTTGAAATTGTAAATTATACTGTTGTTTATATATATTAAAACGTATTTGTGTCAAAACAAAAACGATGTGAATCATCTTGTTGACAAATAGCGTAAATTAAATAAAATATCGACATATTTCTAAACACTAAATCCAGGGTACAGTTTAACTATTAAAAGTTAAATTATTTAACGCGGCTTTGGATTATTTCAAATTTTCAATGCGTAACACCTGTTTCTGTATGTGTTAATAATATATGTAGTGTTTTCTCAATAAAGATCCCTCACACAGTGTACTATTCTTGGTAGTTATATCCACAACTGTCTGTCTCGGCATAAAACTGTAGTATATAAGCAAGAGTGGCGCTAGTAGCGCAAACAAAGTTTTTTTTTCTGTTTTGCATAATTGGTACGGAATTAAAACATTATACATAAATTACAAAATAATAATGCAGGCATTACAATATAGTATACCGTTCATATGAATACATGTTAACAATTGTAGCAATGAATATTAACACGCGTTTCATACATTACATCAGTGCCAACCCTTTCCTTGTTTCCGTATGTGTTAGTGATACAGTATAGCGTTCAAATTCATATATTAAACATTGTAGCAATATATATGCACATTCGGAAACCTTAACAAGTAATCTTGCAGTAAACCTAACAAAGAGGAGTAACATAAGCCATTAGTTACAGAATAATCAGTCAAGTGCGAAGAACAGGAAGAAAACATATACATTTCAAATAATTTTTTCAGGGCGCGTTTATTTTCAATTCCTTTCAAAATACTGCAGTCTATAATATTGTAAGTAGAAAGATATGACAGTGCTTAGTCTAAATCTGAGAACGCGGAAGAATCTATATTATTGTACTTTGTGGATGGACACTAAATTAAAGAGATTCTACGACAACGTTTTGTAACAAGTCGCCACAACAGGATTAAATGATCCGCTCACTAAATTAAAGAGATTCTACCACAACTTCTTGTAATAGTTGCCATTGTAAGTCGCCACAATAGGATCAAATAACCCGCTTTGGGAACAACTGGAAATGCTATTTGTATTTCATTTCCAGTTGTTGTTTCTTTTAAGCGAGTCTTTTAACGTCTTTTTATGGAGCCCCAAATGTTTGAATGAAAGATTTTTTTTTTGCGCTTTTTTATAATGATTCGTTCAATTTTCCACAACGGGCATGTAATTTTTTCTCCTTTACACTATTAATAATTCTTTCCCATTAAACAACGTTACATGCTTTTGTAATTGTAATTAAATGCCTTACCATTAGACGCCGAAAAACATACAAGAACATATTTCAATAACTTTGTTTTATGATTTGAATATAACAGTAATTTAAAAAGAAAATTTTTTTTCCGCTAGATATAATAATATTCTGTGATGCTAGTGTTTTGGATTCATATTTGGTAAGATAAGATAAAGTAAAAGCGACATCATACTTTGATCTTTTTGTTTGTTAGTTTTCGACTGCAACCGTTTCACTTGCTTCAGGAGTTCTTGGCGCTTCGTGTCTAACACTCGTCGTTCTGTCTTCAGTTCTTCTAATAACAGCTGCAATCGTTCCCCTGTATCGAAGATGATAAACTATAATAACTATCTAAGAGACAGTAAAGTTTCCTTTACTATCAAACGTGAATGGACTGTATTAATTGTCTAGAACCTTAAAGGACGATAAACTATAATAACTATCTAAGAGACAGTAAAGTTTCCTTTACTATCAAACGTGAATGGACTGTATTAATTGTCTAGAACCTTAAAGGACGATAAACTATAATAACTATCTAAGAGACAGTAAAGTTTCCTTTACTATCAAACGTGAATGGACTGTATTAATTGTCTAGAACCTTAAAGGACGATAAACTATAATAACGATCTAAGAGACAGTAAAGTTTCCTTTATTATCAAACGTGAATGGACTGTATTAATTGTCTAGAACCTTAAAGGACGATAAACTATAATAACGATCTAAGAGACAGTAAAGTTTCCTTTATTATCAAACGTGAATGGACTGTATTAATTGTCTAGAACCTTAAAGGACGTTTCCTCAATGAAGCGGAAAACATAATCGAGACGATTAAACTCATTCATAAAAATATATAATTTCATATATTAGAACGGAAACGTTGATTACTTTGATAAGTGTGTGTGTACATATGTACTTCTAGAGCTGCTCTATGGTCAGAATAAGTACTCACAGTAAATAGTTAATTTATATATCATTCTTTTTTAGATTCTTTCGTTTGTTTCTTTTGATGTTTTTAACTGCTTTTGATAACAATAACAAAGAAAGGAGTTGAGGGGTCTTGCTTGTTTACACTGGGTATGTGTTTCACCGATTGTACATAAAGTGTATTCCATTTATTGCGATATTTCAAGAGCGAGGATTTTCAACAACATAAAATGAGTGAATTATTGTTAATAATGGAATTTCACCTATTTTTGTAGTTTGTGCTCACATGGTGATTTTATTAAAGATCGACATGCATTGTCTTATAATTTAATGCTGGTTGGACAGAGGCTGAGAAAGTGGCACTACTATAACATAAAAAAAACCAATGAAACTAGAACTGCATCATTTTTCTCTTTATGAAATACATGATAAATATTATGAAATATACAATAATATAAGTCCTATTAAAGAACAATAATTAATCACTGGAGACATATTATTGCAGTTTCTTCAACGACTTTTATCAAATAGTGCCTAACCGAAGTATTTGTTATTGAGTAAGCATTAAAAAATCGCTAATTATATTTAACTACAAATCCAGTTTTAACTTTGGTGTTGGTCCTGTAGTTATTTACCAATTTCTGAAGTAATTTTGAACTGTTCTCTATGTTGTTTAGTTGTGGCTTGCGGTGTGTACTTAAATTATATTTGCCGCAAATAATGCCTTTCGATTGAAAGTTATGTCTTATGATTATTAAATGACTCGTAGATTTTGTTACAAGGACATCACTGGTATACACAGCCAAATGTATGCCTGGTTCTACCTTCCGTGAGGTGGAGGGACAATTAATCAGATATGGCACCAGAGTTATAGTAATTATAAACTGTATTTGTACTTGGGATTGGACAACTATAAATAACTCAAATAAAAAACACGTTAATGTGGATGAAAAAGCTACACAAACGGAAAAAGTTACGTTTGAGTTTTTCATCGTTTCATTCTAGTTTTCAGATCACAGATTTCTATAGGAACAACACATGAGAGGTACTTTGGTTTATTTTTATATCACACAATATCATATTTCAAGTTTTCGTATAAAGAACGGGGTTAAGACTACTATTTGACAAATGAAGGCGAAGGAAAATTTTGGAGGAGTCTTCTGGCTCTGGGCCTGATAAGATGTTGTTGCTGACAGAAATAAAACTAAACAAGATAATATACATAAACTATTTGTCATAAAAACTGTACAAAATAAATCTGAAGCTAAATACAAGACTAGATTAAGAATTACTTACTTCGACTAACCGGGTCATCATCTGACAATAGTTCTAATGTCCTGGTGGCACAAGAGGGAGGCCAGATTGGACATCTGACAGGGGAGTTGGACTTAGAAGAAGTCGCTCTGATGGATTTGGTCTGGCAAGACTTCCACAAACAGGGAAGAGTAAAACGGGGGATTTGAGAAGAATGTATAAGGTCACTTCCTCCATCACTTGTTCTAGGTGCCCAATCAGCTTCCTCTGTTTTCGCACGATGAGTATTACGGACATCCTTTTCACGCTTTGTCTTAGGCTTCTTTTGTCTATAGTACCATCGCTTACCATTTCCATCAACTGCCCAACCATATGTTTCTCCAGAATTATCACTAGATCCGGGAAATTTGCCTTTCTTCTTCTTCTTCTTCTCAAAATCGTTATCAATACGATTTTTAATTTCTCCCCCTATTTCATCAGTAGCGCCACCTGCAACTGATTCCTCGTCATGTAACTTCTCAACTTGCAAGCCATCCAAGTCTAGTTCCGAGGAATCTTTGACGAGATCTTTTACAATTTCTTCTGCATCCTTAAAATTGCTACTATGGGCATCATTGTTTACTTTTTCAACAGTTTCTGAGTTTTCACTAAGATTAGCTTCACCTTCAGTTTCATTTTGTATGCTATCGTCAACAAAACCTTCATTTGTTCTTGTTCTATCATCAAAACCATATTCTTCTGCTTCATTTTTGATTCTATCATCAAAACTATTTTCATCACCAAGACTACCTTTACTTGGTTTTGTTAAATCTCCATCTTTTTCTTTATATATTTTTCCATCATCTGATCCTGCTTCATGGAAGTCTTTATTCATTTCACGAGTACCATCTTCTCCATCAGTATTAACATTAGTATTAGCTGCTTCTGTTTCCGTTAACTTATTTTCTGTTTTTACATCATCTGTTTGTATGATTGTGTCGCCAAGTTCCTTCATAGAAACTTCAATTTTTAACCGACCACGCTGAGTTTGATTAGGTTCTCTTTTTGAATTGATACCCATGCTACCTTCTGATGTTGAACTAAAATTATGTTTTTCTTCTTCGTGAGGTATATCGAGAGACTCTTCTCCCGAAATCTCACTTTCAGTCAATTCTTTTCGATTTTCACTCACAATTGTCCTTTGTCCATCCCCTCCATCCATTGGAACCATGTCACCATTGACTGTGCGTTTGTAGCTTCTCTTCTCTGTTCTCTCTTCTCGGGTCTCTGTCACTGTTTTTCGTGTGATGTACTTGTTTCCTTCTTCACTATCCGGGTCGTTATTGTCAGAAGTCATAACATGCTTTCGAATCTCAACTGGTCCACTTTCTACTTCTGAATTTCTTTCTTCATTCTCAATATATTGAATTATTTCACCAATTTCATTGTCAGAAGCCTTGCTTCCGTCAGCATCAAGAAGTTTAATGCTGGTGTTTTCAATTACGTACTCATCACTTTGGTTGATTTTAGGGGAATAATGATTATTTTCCTCGGTAGATATTTCATCTTTGCTTGTTTGGTTTAAACTAATACTATTTGCTACATTGTTTTCACTTCTATGGAAAGTTTTTTTAGGAATGCTTGTCTTATATTTCTTAGAAGAAACTCCTTGCATTCTTCCTCTTTTTTTAACTTCAATCCCATCATTATTTTGTACCATTTTAGACTTGTTATTATTTTTTATTCCTTTTTTATTGTGGAGATCAGTTTGATTTTTTGACTGAGACCGTGCAATGCTATTAGTCCTCCTTACATGAGAACGTTCATTGACATTATTGACTCCACCTTCAACTCTATTGTCTTTCAACATGTCTTTTACTTTATAATTAGTATCTTCGTCTCCTCTTTCTTCGTGGGAGTAATTTCCTTCACTATTCCATCTTCTAGTCCAAGTTTCTCGTTTTTCTACTTTGTAATTCATCTCGTTATCTTTCCTCCTGAAAATTGTAAGGAACCATTTAACAAAATCATTTCTTACATACACATTTAAGAGCTATGTAAATTATAAGTTGGGGTAATCGAAACGGTGACAACAAGATTACCGTAATCCAGCGCTTTGGCTGTTGAAAAGTAGCGTTTACAAGAATTTCAGTAATTCTTTTGGCAATTTTCGGAGTGATATGCTGTTATATTGAGATTAGGTAAAAATAGCTTTTTCTTCCAGGTTTCCGGTTAATATTTAACAAACTTTATATATATATAAGAAAACTACATGTGCTGAAATTAACATATTGCTAAACTCAAAGATTCAGAAATAAACGAATCGTTCAGACTTTTATTTGTCTACAGTTCCTGTTAATTATTGGCCCTAACAAGGATTTTAAATTATATTCTACTTATAGGTTCATTACATTTATTCAGCTCGTTTCTTAATGCTTTAAAATGACGTGGATCTTAAATTTGTGATTTCTTGTAAACGAACTGTTAATCCAATATAATCTATAAAACATTTAGGACTTTTTTATTCATATACCACATTAGAAGCTTTAAAGGTAGGTATATGATCTTTATAACTAAAAAATATTGTACTCAGCATTCAGGCTTACAATCGCATCTTTGTTCTACTTGATGGTAAGTTCAGGGACATGACTTGCGTAATTGATTAGATTATTTACAGCCAACAAAACTTGTAATATAATACTTTAAATATTTCATTGTGTTCTTTCAGTACGATATTTTAGATTTTAACAAATTTCACGCTAATAAATTCATGTTCATAAGGGCTTGTGAGAGTGCTCCTCTTAAAAATAAAATTATTAAAGACCAAATGGTTAGAAATCGTCTTTCGCTAAAGTTACTAAAGAAACTGTTAATTCAAAATGGAGGTAGAACAGCAAGAGACTCCTGGCAAGCCAGCAGCCGTCCAGCCCCAGCAGCCAGGATGACCACTGCTACCCACACCAAACAATATAACCGCTAATGTAACTTACAATAATTCCGTAGCACACAATGATGACGAGAAAAACCAACCTATTTGCACAATTCTACACCATAGCTATTTGTTTGTAATTAAGCACAAAGCTACACAACGGGCTATCTGTGCTCTGCCCACCACGGGTATCGAAACCCGAATTCTAGCACATACCGCTGTGCCACTGAGAGGCACACCATAGCGAACCACTCTACTTTTGATAGCCAACACTTTAACACTATCAATAATCACATTAACACTAATCACAATACTTTTAACCCACCATTCCAAGTAGATCTACTACACGCACCCTATCTCTCCCACAAAAATAAACACTATCCATAAAACATTCAAACGCACGGCTCCAGGTAAAGACGGCGTCAACAAACCCAATCGTTAAAAACTTTTCTGATAACCTACTAAAGCACCTATCTTCTCCATACAGTATATCTTTATTTTCCGGATACTATCCGTTGATTTGGAAATCCGCGATCATAAAAGTTATCCCCCGAAAAAGACAAATATCTCTGCCTACCAAACAGTTCTAGGCCAATAAATCTTCTGAATATATTAGGTAAACTTATGAAAAAAGTCATATCTAACAGACTGCTACATTACTTAGAAAGCAATAACATTCTCAACAATAACGAAAACGCGAACAGAAAACGCAGGCAGACAACCGATCACTTAGTAAGATTAGTCTAATCTATACACCAAGGGTTTAACCGCAATCACTCCATAGTCGCAGCCTTTTTAGATGTAAAACAAGCATTCGATACTGTTTGGCACAATGCCCTAAGGTATAAGTTAACTAAAAACAAGGTCCCTATTCCCATCACCAGATGGCACTCTAGCTTAGTCACTAATAGTATTGCTAAAGTTAAAATCAATAACAGCATGTCTAACGCATTCCCACTAAAAGCAGGAGTCCTCCAGGACACTGTCCTCATCCCACTAACTCTACATTCTATTCGTAAATGCCATTCCACTCCCGCAGTTAATAAATACTCTCATCTCTCAATATGCCGATGACATTGCCATCTGGAGCACATCACGCGATCCACTCACTGCCACGTCCAGAGTCCAGGACGTTTTAAATAAATTAATTAAGGCAATAGCATTTCACAGGAATATAGGAAAACAAAAACATTAGACAAATCAAACTTACATTATACAACACCATAGGTTTTGTAAGTTCTGATGTAGGTTTTGTAAGTTTTAATGTAGGTTTTGTTAGTTTTAATGTAGGTTTGTAAGTTTTAATATAGGTTTTGTAGGTTCTGATGTAGGTTTTGTAAGTTCTGATGTAGGTTTTGTAAGTTTTAATGTAGGTTTTGTAAGTTTCAATGTAGGTTTTGTAAGTTCTGATGTAAGTTTTGTAAGTTCTGATTTATGTTTTGTAAGTTCTGATGTAGGTTTTGTAAGTTCTGATGTAGGTTTTGTAAGTTCTGATGTAGGCCTTGTAAATTGTGATGTAGGTTTTGTAAGTTTGATGTAGGTTTTGTAAATTCTGATGTAGGTTTTGTAAATTCTGATGTAGGTTTGTAAGTTCTGATGTAGGCCTTGTAAATTGTGATGTAGGTTTTGTAAGTTTTGATGTAGTAGTTTACCGTGATTCCTAAAAATTTGGCTGTTGTTTTAAAGGTGATAACATCAGAACCTACAAAACCTATATTAAAACTTACAAACCTACATCAGAATTTACAAACCTACATCAGTACTTACATCAGAACTTACAAAACCTACATCAGAACTTACAAAACC